ATCTGAAGAAGTGAGGTTCTTACCCATGAAAGCTTATGCTCCCAGTACTTCTGTTAGTCACAAAGGTGCCACAGGACCCTCTGTTGCTTTTTACAGATTCAGACTAACACAGCTACCCCTCTGATACTTGACAACTAGATAATGTTACAAGTCAATTCACTTTGCTGTCTTTATCCAGGGTGACAATGATTTTCCAAAGGAATGACCAGTGTGTAAACTTCAGGCTTCTTCATGGGTTGCGTAGGGTTGTAAATTGCCACATTTAATGAAACAACAAAACCATGAGGTCCCAGTGAAAGTTTTGCTTTTAGAACCAGTGAGATGAAGAGGAATAGAGCTGTGAGGATGTCAGAGCAGATGCTCCTGGGTGGAGGAACTCTGGGGGCTTTGGGACTGCAGGGAGAGTATGTGCTGGGACAGGCGTTCTGGGGTGGGGGCAGTGACAAGAGATGCTGGTGTTGAGGACCGTGGCTCAGGGGAGCAGAGGAGGACTTGGGGAATGGGTTTGTGGAAAAAGGAAGAGTAAAGGAGAGGTGTTCAGGGAGGGGAGAAGCAGAGGATGGCTGAAGCCGTGAGAAGGAGAAGACAGGAAGTGCTGGGGACAAGTATTCTGAGGAGTTGTGGTGCTGGTGATTGAGTGCTCTGGGGAGTCTGGAGTCAGTGGGAGGAAGAGAAGTTGGGGGAGCCAGGGACTAGGGGACCATGGGAGGGAGAGAAGTTTGTGCGCATGTGGATGGGTACTGTAGGCAGCTGGGAGTGGAACCTTGTGAGGAGAGGTCGGAGGGTCTGTGTTCACAGTTGTCTACCCAATCTCTGAATGATCATCATCATAGAGTTAATAATACAGAGCTTTCAAATGGGCACAGTGCTGATGAGTTATAAAATAAAACTATTCAGAGAGAGAGAGAGAGAGAGAAAGATGATGTACGTGGGGATGGGGATGAGGATGGATAGGTAGGGAGATTGTCCATGCGGGGATGGATAGATAGATAGTTTAGGGTAAATTGAATAACATAATTTTCTTTAACCCTGTCCTGTCTCATTGACCCAGGATATGGTTCCTGAGGTCCTGGGTTCTTATGAGTGAGAACTAAAACTCACCTTGTGACCAATTTTACAGTTTCCAACAGCTTCAGAGGTTTTACCCCAGTGAGAAACATATTTTGTAGCCTCAGCAGGATCCCAAGGTGAGCAATGAAACCAAGTTTCCATTTCTTTTCTGATGCATTATCCCATCCCTTCACCGAGGAGGAAATCATTTTCATTACAACTCAGATATTTTTATATGTTCAAAATACTACAAAAATATCAACTAGCTATTAGAGCTGGTTGCAAAACTTTGGAAGCGTTCTCCATTGGAAAATTCTGTTTTGACAAACCCCTGGTGGGGACCAAAAATAAATAAATAAATAAATAAAAAAATAAAGAAGAATCTCCAAATTTTTCCTGGGATGGAAAATCCATTTTCTGACTAGCTATACTAATTATATCTCACGTCCCCTCTATTATGCTAGTAACTATTTTCATTCCTATTTTACTGATGGGGAAACAGAGTCACAGAAGATGAAAGTGCCTTAATATTTTGCTGGTATGATGAGTTCTCTTTCTCGGGACATAGGTTTTGTTTAAAGATAATATAGCTCTATCCTAAAATATGGGCAAGGTGATATGGCCCCTTCCTCTGGAAAACAGAATCCTAGGAATCTCCATACATGAGCAGACTAGTGGTCCATGTAGTCCAGGATCCTATCTCTAACAGGGGGCAATGCCAGCTGCTTCAGGGGAACGTGTAAGGAACCCTGCAGAAGGCAGTTATAGGATAATCTGCTTCGAGGGGAAGCTTCTGCCAACCCGTCAATAGTTAAACCAAACATCGATTACTGGCTGGGGCCCTGATGCAGGAGGGTTTCTATCCCCTCCAAACCTGGCCAGCTGGAGTAACTGCGTATCAGTTTACAGCTTCTCTGGAGTGCGGCACACACCGTTCTGTCCCGTTTGTCCCGGTCATATAGCAGCCGAGCCCTCTCCTTTGAGAAACACCCCGCATTAAGAGGCACAAAATTAAGTAGGCCCTGAAAACTTAAGGCACCCAAATTGGGTGATGGGAAAATCACCAAGAATGGCACAAAAAGAAAAACCAGAAAGCCAGTACTGTGAAGCAACATGATTTTTAATGTGACTGAAAAGAGGGATATACAATGGCAGAATGAAATAATGCAAAGGACAGAAAATCTATTTGTAGGGTTTCAAAAAGGGCTGCAACCAATCACTTGCTCCAAGGAGATGCAATTTGAGCAAGATGTTCTTTTTTCTTTGGTGCAGCTGTGAAATTTGCCTATCAAGTGTTTTTTTTTTCATTTAAGTTAGCGGCTTCACCCCAGGGAGAAACAAAGGAGACAAAGAACAACATAAGCAGAGGATTAAATGACTTCTGCATTGTACATCAGAAGCCATCAACAAACGGTCTCTCTATTCATGGCATGGCTAGAACCTAAAGTGCCAAATTTCTCTGTGACACTACGGCCCCATTACACCTCTCTGGCAATGGAAAGTGGCTTTAAACTGAATGTAAATGGAATTTGTGGTCTCTTTAAGGCTCCAACTTCCTTTACTTTGCCAGAAGAGCGTAAAGAACCTGCAGTGGAACTGAGAACTAGAAACAGCAGATAGTTGGGAAGACCTTAGAGGAAAGAATAATAAAGAATAACACAAAAGATGCGTCTGTGCGTCCTTTTCAGAGGTTCTGAGCATTCACAGCTCCCACTGACTTCAGCAGGAGTTGTGGGTGCAGAGCCCTTCTGAAAGCTCTACAGTGAATCTGTACCCTGCTTTTCATTCCCTGGCTGTTCCTTCTGGATTTAACATGGCCCACACAGGTCACGGTTTCCATGGCCCACCCCGAAAGCTCCTGAACCAGACGTGCCCCCGTAGCCACTTGCAACGACAGGAGCTCCCACGGATTCCACTACGCTTTCCTGCGGGAAAGTGGTGAGGATAGGTCCCGGGAAGGTCACGACAACCGGTGGTGGGTAGATTATCACTCTCGAGTCGGGGCACCGCGTGACGCATGGTTGGTTGCAGCTGTCAGTGAATGGCCTGGGGCGTGCCACACCGCACGCTGAGCCCCCAGCAGTGCACACATTTCTGGAACAAGACATCTTTCCGAGATGGAGGTAACCCTGAAACACACACTAAGGAGTAGAGTGAACATAAGGCACAAGTGGAAGACAGGATGAAAGTTCAGATACTATAGTAACAGAGGCTAGCTAGCTAGCTAGGAGGCTGAAATTTGCACAGGAACCTGAGAGAGGCTCAGTTGGAATTAGTGCCTAAATCCCTCTAAATTCATAAAGAAATCGTACCCCTCTAGCCTATGTGGAACACATCAGTAACGTTACACTTCAGTGGTGATCAATAAAAGCTGAGCTCTGCCATTTCATGGAAATGGTTATGGCCGGATTGTAAATTGGTGTAAAATAACAAAGCTTCATTGAAAGCAGTTGAGGTATATTTTTAAATGTGCATAAAGCAATGCTCTCCAGTAGCAAAAGATTTTCAGAGCCACTGAAGAGGTCTGGGTGTTTATTTCCCCTCAAAATGAATAGGAGTTATGGGCATCCAAATCTCATTCCAAATCCCATCCTTCCCACCTAAAACCTCACCAATACCTGCAACTGAAAACTGAATCACTAAAAAAGGATTTTTTTATGTTAACAAACCCCCTGAGGTTGCTAAGAATATTTATGCAGGACTCAGCCATAAGTTAAAAATATCAGTAAATCACATTTTAATAATTAAAAACAGATGAAGTCGAATCAGACTTACCCAGGTCACAGAGAAGGACAAATGAAGAGAAGTGGTTAGAAAAACCCCGAGTTGTGAAAGCTTTTATATTCATTCTCCGACTGCCTGAAATCTATGAGACACCCTTGGTGCACGAGGGCTTAATTAGTTACCAATCAAAATTTGTGGACTGCATAACTCCTCTACATTACATCACGGCTTGTGATTATTAGTGTATTCTCCGTGGCACATAGCATGACGTACACGTAGCGTGTTCCTTTCCTTGTAAAACTTCATGGGTGCAATTCATGTGATATATCATTCCACTGACCTCAAGTTGAGAGAGATTCATTCCTGCTGTATCTCCATATGTTTAGATCTTTTTATTTGTTTTAAAAGATTAGCAGTAGGGAGGTGGCGTAGAGGCGCATGAATAGAACAATCAGAATGTTTAAAAAATTCACAAAGAGGACTTCAGTTTGGTCCTTTAACTCTTGTCTGGTAGTGAATGGGGGTATGGTGGAGTTTACACTTGCAGTTCCTAGCAAACAGGAATATCTTTTTTCTATCTGCTCCGCACCACCATCCCCAACCAGGGGGGCTGGAGCAATTTTTATAGTGGAGGTGCTGAGAGCCATTGAGCCAAAAGTAAAATAGCCCCAGATTCTGAGGCTATAACTCATGACCTGAGTAGGGAAACAACATGACCTTGAGGCTATAACTCATGACCTGAGTAGGGAAACAACATGACCTTGAGGCTATAACTCATGACCTTAGTAGGGAAACAACATGACCTTGAGATGTATTTGGAAAATGACTCAGTTGTTCTCTACTAAGACACTGAATTCCAGTTTCACACTGTTAATACTATAATAATACGACGTCACTGAGAGGGGTGTGAAGTGCTTTGAAATCCTAAGTTTATAGGAAGCCTCAGAACATCCCCCATGACGGCTATTATCCTTGTTTTATATGCAGATAAACGGAAGAGTATTGAGGTCAAGGTCACACAGGCAGTAAGTGGCAGAGAGCAATAGAATCAAGACATCTTGACTCCTTGTGCCATGTGCTAACCACTGGTCCTGACTCCATAAGGCTGCATTACAAGACAGTATTGTGACAAAGTGGGGGGTTTTCTTGTTTTCTGTAGAGTTTCAATGGTTTGCAGGCGGAGGGGGTGGGACTCAGTTTCCCTGGGTGTTACTGGTTTAATGAGGTGAGGGGAGAGGGAGTGTGTTTTGCAGAGGCCCGGAGAGAGGACGTGGGGACCCAGCCGGTGGCCGGGAGGATGGATACCCCAGCGACCGGTGACCTGGTGACCCAGAGGCCCAGCTGAGGAGACGCAGCTGGTTCTGGCCAGTGGGAGGACAATGGGCTACAGAGTGAGGACCCAGTGACCTAACCAGCCGGTTCCAGCCAGAGGGAGAAGCAGGAGAGGAGGCCCCAGTTTATGACCCTGTTTACCTGGAAGGAAGACAATGGACAGAGGCGGGGCCTGGGGGAGGGGATCTCGGATGCCCAGCTGCAAGCAGGGGGGTGCTCTGGGCTGGAGAGGGGGAGCAGGCAGAGGGTCAGAGAGTCTCCTGTGCTGTGTTCAACTCTCAATAAACCCTTCTGTTTCATGCTGGCTGAGAGTCACTCCGGTCTAGAGAACAGGGTTGCATCAACCCCTTCGGGGGTGGAGGCCCCGGGGGTCCAGAGCGAGTGGACTCCCTGAGGGGGCCCACGGCAGAGACAGATGTGCTAAGGCTCGGAGAAGTGCGGATCCAGGAGGTGGAGGGGCCGGACCCCGAGAGAGAGTGGACCCCCGAGAAGGGCTGTCTCACTAAAAGGGGCACCCCCCACGGACCGCACGGGGCCAAGAGTGGGCACGATCTGTGAGTCCGTGACAAGTATTAATAACATGTTTTGTTAAATAACCTTGAAAATGGGGCATTAACATGAGAGTAACCGAGATTCATTCAGCATTGTATGTGACATTCAGGATGAATTATCTTCTGACGCAATCTTCACAATGACAAACTATGTAATTTTGCAATCTACTTTAGCCTTGGTTTCTTCATACCAGGCTCACAATTCTCAAAATACGCAATGCGCAAATTCCAAGCTTATTTCTGGCTGGTGCAAGATTGTAAATCTCAGTATAGAATTCAGCCAGAACGAAAAACTTTGGTACAAATTGCTTAATGTCGCTCCAGTGCAAATTCCTCCCACTGCCAGAATCTTAAAAGGTGGGAAATCTGGAGTAAAGGGAAAAACCTCTCCTGTGCTCTGATACACACCGTTGAAATTATTCTTTGTCGGTTGGATGCTGTGATTACAGCTGGGTGAATAATAGTGCTTTCAGTTCACTGGCAATTCTGAAAAATGGGGAGAGGGGGGACTTTTTAGAGTCTCAGGCCTGGTCTACACTACGGGTTTAGGTCGACTTTAGCAGTGTTAAATCGAATTAAGCCTGGACACGTTCACATGACGAAGCCCTTTCTTTCGACTTAAAGGGCCCTTTAAACCGGTTTCTTTACACCACCTTCGACGAGGGGATTAGCGATAAAATCGACCTTTGCGGGTCGGAATTGGGGTAGTGTGGACGGAATTTGACGTTATTGGCCTCCGGGAGCTATCCCACAGTGCTTCATTGTGACCGCTCTGGACAGCACTCTCAACTCAGATGCACTGACCAGGTAGACAGGAAAAGACCCGCGAACGTTTGAATTTCATTTCCTGTTTGCCCGGGTGGCCAGGTGCATGTAGAAGATGTTGCATCAGATGACAATGGACAAGACTTAAGGTGGTATA